GGGTTTATAGGGACTTGAGAGGTGGGTTTTCTCTTACTATTAGTCATTTTTATCGGGAAATTCAGTCGTGTGCGAGAAGGATTGCATTGTGGAGTCAATGAAGTGGTTTCGTGAAATGAGATAATGATAACCGATGAAATAAAAAATGATAAGTGTAGGGGAAAATAGAATTGGAGAGGTTCATGCAGGCGCAGGGGTTCCGTTTCCCCTTAAGTAGAAACAGAATTTAATGGAGTTTGGTGCAGACCGCACTGTAGATTCAGCGATTTTCGATGATCACATTTGTCAATTAAATTGCATGAAAGGGTTGGAAAAAATCATGAATATTCTGCGACATTCAAATGACATTTCGCACAGAATTTTTTTTTTTAATACTCGTTGGTTATAAATAAATAATTGAAATTGTTTAAACTTTCTGAAACTTTATTTTTTTAGACATGAAATCGATTGCTGGTAGAATTATGAACATGAATACATTTAGTAGGATTCAGTACAAATGATTTTTATGGTAGAAAATTGATTGTTTATAAATTATTTATAGAAAATGCTCGTAATTTCCAAAAATTGAATTCTTTAAATTCTTTCATCAATCTTCCTCCAAAAGTAAACTTTCTAATTTTTTTTGCAGATTTTTAGAATGTTTTCTAACGGTTCAATATGGAGATTCCAATTCAGACCTGCTTTACATAATAAAATCATTGTAAAATGTCCGGAAACTTAAGGTCAAACGGGCTCAAATGAAAGCTGTGATGTTCGACTGCAAAAGTAGCAAAGCATTTCATTGGAGAAAAATATCCTTAAGGATATCCAAGTACTTTGGCTATTTTTGGAGTTTGGTACAGACCACACTCTAGATTCAACCATTTTCAATAATTAAATTTATCAATTCAATTGCATAAGAAAGAGTTGGAAAAAATTATGAATATTCAGCGACATTTAAATTACATTTTGCACTGAATTATTATTTTTTTAAACATGCTTTGTTCATAAATAAATAATTGGAATTGTCGAAATATTGAGCTATTTTTTGAGGGAATTTTCAAAATTTTCGTTGGTTTTCCAATTTGCTCTAGATTTTCTAATCATTTTTTAACGGTTCGAAATGAAGAATCGGTATAATAATAATATATAATAATAATTAATAATAATAAAAATAATAATAATTGTAAAATATTCGGGAATTTATTCTCAAATAGGGTTCCAATGAAAAATTTTATATTTGCTCAACATTTTTGGAAATAATTCCAAGGAAATAGATAATGGCTAAAGTACATTATTTTATTTTTGCAAAAATTGTTAACTAGAGAAAATTATAATTTGAAAAGGAGAAACGGGAGGATTGATTAGAGGACGACCGTGCAAATAAGAGGATGTAATCCCAATTTGTATCTTATTTTGTGAATTTATGATTATTAATGATCAGAGTGAAATAATTTAATTTCGCGTCGAGATAATTTGTCAGATGATTCGAGTGATACGATTTTTAGAGAACTTTTTGATTTATTCCTTTTCTCCTCCGTGACCATTCGAATGAGTTTATTCAACATGACGATCGTCGGTACAGATTTACTGTTACTTTAACGGGCTCATCAGTATTCTTCTCGGAAGATAATCACGAAATTAAAATGCAGATGCCTTTTGATGATTTTCTTGCGTTAAAGCCGGCAGGAAAGGTTCGGAATACCCATGTCATTCTCTAGAACCATTTCGTTTTTAGTGAAAATTCGAGTTTCTAGTGAAATGAATCGTCAATTTTCATGCATTCAAGATGGTGATAATTCATTTAATAATGAATTTTCGAAAATTTGGTTCATGGGAGTAACTTTCTTCGGAAGAAATTCAAATAGTAAAAGAACCGAATGGAGCACTGAAAGAAACAGAACCGTGAAATCCAGTGGCAAAGTTGTATAATAGAAAACGAACAAGACAATTTTTTTTTAAAGAATTTTTTGGGAATATCTTTCAATATTTTTCAATTTTAAAATACTCAACATGAACTCATTTCTAAAGCCGCTGAATTCATGCGAAAAAAAAAATCAGTAGCGAAGCGCTAAAACGGTTTGAAGATATCCCAGTATCTCTCACAGTTTGGTACAGACCACACTACAGACTCAACCACTTTCAATCATCAAATTTGTCACTTAAAATAAATTAGAAAGTTTGAAAAAAATCACGAATTTTAAGCGTGATTCAAATTATATTTTGCACAGAATTATTATTTCTTCAAGTATTCTTTGTTTATAAATAAATAATTGAAATTGTTTAAACACGCAGAAACATTATTTTTTGGGCATGAAATCGATTTCTTGTAAAATTCTGAACATGAATAAATGTATTACGATTTCAAACAAATGATTTTAATGGTAATAAATTTATTCTTTATAAATTACTTATGGTAAATGCTCGTAATTTTAAAAAATTGCAATTTTAAATTATTCCATTAATCTTTCTCCAAAAGTAAACTTTCTCATTTGTTTTTCTGATTTTTAAAACGTTGTTTAACTGTTCAATATCGTTCAAAGAAAGACCTGCAAAGTTTAAATTAAAATCAGTGTAAAATATGGAATGATTGTAAAATTATTGTAAAAGGGGGCTCAAATGAAAGCTCTGATGTTCGACTACAAAAGTAGAAAAGCATTTTACTGGTGAAAAAATAGTCAACGCACTTGGATATCCTCAAGTCGATTGAGAATATCTCGGAATCAAAGACAGATGGAAAAATTTTTGTTACAACCTTTTTTATAAAACGAATTAAAAGCTACGAAAAAGATGATTACAAAAATACCGCTATCTCCCTTAGATTCGCAGATATTCCTCCAAAACTCAGCTCAGAGGCAAGTCGACTTGAACCGTTTTACCGTTTCGCTACCGAAATAATTAATTCAGTAATAGACTCTTCCCAGTTCATTTAGCGAGGTCATTTAATGAGGTCCTCCCCGAGCCTTCGATGATTTCAAAGTAAATATCAGAAAAAATGAATTGATTCTGCACGAATTGAACAGAATTATAAAAATTGCGTAACAGGAAGATTTCGATGTAAATCCGTTTTCCATTGAATTGTCGCTGATGCTTCACAAGGAAATTTGTTCCCCGCATTCAAGAGTTCCCCGTGAATTTATTAGGTCACTGGATCACATGATCCAATGTCTTATCCATCATTCCCCTGCATCCATAGGATATTGATCTCTTTCACGTGTTTGATGAAATATTGAAGGTACGTTTACACATTAAGCAGTTAGAAATATATGGAGAGAAAGGAGGATAGACCGGTTGGATTGAAGATTCGATCCGGCAAATCGGAAGTGTCAGGGTACATTGATCCCGTTCCGGTGATTCACCTTGGGGTATTATCGGGGTCGATGGAATTGTCAAACTCAAGAAAACTGAGGACAACTGAGGAAAAAGCTACTCTGAGAAAAAAATATTCTGCGAATCACATTTGTTTCAGACAAACAAATGCCCGAAATTTCTATACAAAATTTCCCTCTAAATCCTCGGCTGAAACAAATTTATTTAGCAGAATCAAATTTTTTTTCTTAGTGTACATCAATTTAAAAAAAACGAATCATTGACATTTGATTTCTGATTTTGGAGTAAAATTAAATGAATCAAAATTACCTCTGCAATCTGATCCTTTATGACTATGAATAATGTTTCCAGTCGAATGATTTAATCTGATTTTCAGAATTCTTGAGAAGAAATCTCCCCTTCAATTCCTTAAATATTTCCTCAAATGAAATTACGATTAAATTTATTCTCGATTCACTCTAGGATCTCCAAGCACTTCAGCCATTCTTTTTTTCCATAAAATGATTGGAAATATGCGTTTTATGAGCTTTGCGCTCAGACATGCACGTCATCGTAAATTATTCCTTTCCATTTAAGTCATCCCATGTTTGTTACTTCAGTGAGATTCCCCAATTAATTTTCTAGTCACTCCAACCTTATAATTTGCGTCAATTCATAACGATCATAACACGTATGGAACAATTTCATACGACAACCCAGCGAGTTCGCTAGACAATTCTATTGGATTTCTATTGAACTTTCTATTAGTTTTTGGCCGATTCTACTGAAATATTCAATAGAAAATATTCTATAGAAAAAATCATTGGAGTTCGATTTCTCTATACAACTTATTCTATTGAGATATTTTCTATAGAATGTCCTCGTCTCAAATTTTCTGAGTTTTTTTGCTTGATTTTCTAGACAAAAAGAAAAGAAAAATGACATTAAAAATGAAAACACATGCACTTCATCGTAAATTATTCTTTTCCATTTTACTATTTCCTATTTGTTACTTCAGTGAAATTCCCCAATTAATTTTCTAATCCCTTGAAGTCCATAATTTTCGTCAATTTACGTATAGACTCATTATGATGAGAAAATGACCGTAAAACGTATGGAAAAAATTAACAAATAAACGTTATTTGCGTTGAATACCCCAGACAAAAAAAATATAATAAATAGTAAGGTCAGACAGGTATGAAACCCCCCGAAATCATACAAAACAGGTTTAACATTTCCCCTCAACCTTGACATTGCCCCGAAAAAGTTGCCAGATCTAACAAATTGATTACCGCCGCATTAACTCATTGATTAACCACGTAAAATTGAAATTATCCAGATAAACCGTATCAAATGCCACCGGTGAAAGCGAAAAGCCCTCTATAACCGATACGATGACCCAATGATCCACTTGTCATACTAAGTGTATCTAAATAAAGAACATTAAATTTGACAGTGTAAATATCAGTTGTAAATGGTCCCCGTGGAATCACAAGCCAAAACGTACAAGTGGACAGGTGAAATGAGTGGGACGGGTGGGGAGTTCTTACCGAGAAAAGAAGGAGAAATGCGTGGTATAAATGAAGGACAATGACCTAATTGTCTGTAGAACCATCAGTGCTACCTTCCTGGACATTCTCTCGTGGTGAATTAAGTTTGGAATTTGCTGTACTAGTTGTTTTTTCACTTCATCCACGAGAACGCCGCGCATTATGAAGGTCAGTTACGTTGTTCATTTGATTATTTTTTTTTTTCAAGTGGTAAAATGACACTGTTAGGAAATTCTCTACTATAAAATTAGCGACACGCTTGCTGTTATCAATCTGCTTTACTAATCTACGTTGCATTGTTATGATTATCTTTTAAAATCCTGTATTAGATTATTTGTAGAGTATACTTTTCAAAGAAATTTATAGTATAGCATAATATTTTTTTTAAGACCCGGTTGCACGGAGCCCTGTTAGCTATTTTTACCCCAGGATAAATTTATCCATGTGTAATCCTTATGGACTAACAGACCGTTATCTGGCGGTTTAGTTAACAGACGATGGTGCAACCGGGCCTAAATCAATTTGTTACGATTCCAAACAAATTATTTTTATGGTGGAAAATCAATTGTTTATAAATTATTTATAGAGAATGCTCGTAATTTTCAAAAATTGCAATTTTTTAATTATTTTATCAATCCTCCTCCAAGTGTAAATTTTCTCATTTTTTCCCAGATTTTAAAAATGTTTTCTAACGGTTCAATATCGGGATTCAAATTCAGACCTGCAAAGTTTGAATAATAAAATCATTGTAAAATGTCCGAAAGCGCAGATGTTTGACTACAAAAGTAGAAAAGCATTTCACTGTAGAGAAAACAGCCAAAGTACTTGGATATTCTTAAACTCTCATTCATCCGAAGAACTAAGTACTAAAGGCCTCGGTAATGGGTATTAAAATTGATGCACAGTAGGAAAGAAAATTAACTGACGAATGTATTAAGCTCCGAAGTAGGTGAGCTACTGCATGCGCTCACGTCCTGGAATTCTTCAATCCAATAATTACCGATAATGCACCCGAGGAATTGATACCCCATGCGATAGATTTTCACCTCATTAATGCACTCAGGCACTCATCAGTCGTTCACGCGAAAAACGTCATACAGGGACTTTCTCACTCGTGATTAGGCAAATATTCGTGCATCGGAGTGATTGGAGTCATCATTGGGATTTCTAATTCACTGTTCTAAATACACAATGATAGATGGAATTTTCTATCGTGATTCGTTGTTTTCACTTTGGATTGGATACATTGTCTTGGAGCGAAATAAGAAATTTATTTTACATTTTTTCTGCGTTTTCTTTTTTCATCACAATAAATTAACAATTATTCTTCAACATCATTTTTATACAACTATGGTTGCCTGCGAGTGGACCATGAAGAAGGCTATTCTTTCTCTCTGAGCAGTCATGCTAATAATTAATAAATAATCGAAATTGTTTAAACTTTAGGAAGTCTTATGTTTTGGGCGTCAAATCGATTTCTAATAAAATTCTGCACGTGAATAAATTTGTTACGTTTCCGAACAAATCATTTTTATGGTGGAAAATTGATTGCTTTTAAATTGTGCATAGAAAATGCTCGTAATTTTCCGAAATTGCAATTTTTAATTATTTGTTAGTCGTGCATTGTTGAGTCGATGAAGTGGTTTCATAAATAAAAAATAATAATTGCAGGAGAAAATGCAATTGTAAATGTTCGTACAAACGCAGGGGTTCCGTTTCCCCTTAAGTAGAAACAGCCTTTAATGGGGTTTGGTGCAGACCACACTGCAGACTCAGCGATTTTCAATGATCACATTTGTCAATTAAATTGCATGAGAAAGAGATGGAAAAAATCGTGAATATTCGGCGACATTCAAATTACATTTTGCACAGAATTATTATTTTTTTAAACATTCGTTGGTCATAAATAAATAATTGAAATTGTTTAAACTTTCTGAAATATTTTTTTTAGGCATGCAATCGATTTCTGGTAAAATTATGAAGATGAATAAATTTGGTATGAGTGAGAACAATGATTCTTATGATGGAAAATTGATTGCATTAAATTATTTATAGCAAAAGCTCGTAATTTTCCAAAATTGCAATTTGTCATTATTTCATCAAACTTTCTCTAACAGTAAACTTTAAAATTTTTCTTAGATTTTTAAAATGTTTTCTAACGGTTCGATATCAAATTTGAAATTCAGACCTGCACTTTTTAATATTAATTTTTGCCAATGGATTTTGTAAAGTGAATTTATGTTGCAAATTGAAATTCAATCGCCTTATTTTTATACTGAGATGTATTCAAATACTTCGCGATGAAAATGATCATATGTAGGTGAAAAATTATTCACTTGAATTTTTTTCCGGCTGGGGAAATGTCGCCGCGGATGAGAATTAAGGAAACGTTTGAAATTTTCGAAACCCTCGGTATCCGGGAGCATTCTGTACAGTAATCTTGGCATCATTATCAAGACGATAATTTCCTTCTGTTGCTGGATGTAGCTGAATACCGGTGCACAACGCTTTTCTCCCTATCACGTGGATGTAGCACGTTGGCCCACTTAAGTGCCTCGTGTACGTGGGTATTAACGCATTAAAAACGTACTCAATGATCAGCGGAGACAAACTCGAGTGTCCGGTTATCGAAATACACCAGGTTCCGGGTTCCGGTATTTAGAGGGGCTATTTGCATTCTGCGTTTTCACTGGGATTAGGCATTAATCAACATTACAATGATTAAAGTGGTATAAACATACCTTGAATGTTGAAGATTGAAATCTGAAATAAATTCTAAATGAAAGTTAATATAAATAGAAACATTATGGGCGGATTTGTGCTCAGTCAACAATCTAGAATTATTGATAATAATTTAACTAGAAGTGCAAAAATAACACAGAGTGTTACGAGAAAATGATCTTTCAACTCGAATAAAAACGTTTAAGGATGTTTAGCCACACGGAGAGAAATTTTTGCTAAAATTATCCTACCGTTCTGTAAAAGTGTATCATGAGTCATCGTTTTTATCTATACATCACGAGCCTCATTTCTATCCCGAAATTTAGTACAAATTAATATATAATGATCAAATTTCATTCTACGTTAGAGAAATTTTATCCTGATAAAAATAAAAACTACCGTGCCGGTAGAGTAAAAATTACTGTATCAGTAGGGTAAAATTTACCAACCGTTCTAGAATTTTCGTTGTTATTCAAAAAAATTATTGGACTGGAAGGGTAAAATTTATTATGCGTCAGGATAAAATTTCTCTTGCGGTTTAAAAATTTAAAATCGGCGAAATATTGCGAAAATACTGAATTGCAAGGATGACTGTTTTTAATTCATGTCCATAGGCGTTCAGTTGGATTCCGTGGCTTCTGGCGGTATGTATTTGCCTGACAGAGGCGAGATACAAGGTCCGAAGACCCCTGCCTCCTCCACCAGCTCCACCTCAGATGTACAAAAAGTCATGGCCCATTGGGCACAGAGTGTCGATGGGAAACACTGTGCATATTAATAGTAATAGTAATTATCCACCCAAGAGGCCTGTGTTTGGAAAACCCCATAATTTCAGGTACTCTCAATGCCTTTATTTCCATTGACTAATAATTATGATATTGATAATCGAAACTGTTTTCTCTGTGTAATAAAAAATTCTTTTGACTTTCGAAAAAAATTGAGGAGCAAAGCATATGAGGACACGATTTGACTGCAATTTCCATCAATTTCGTATCAAATATGTGATGATCACCTCCGGAATGCATGTTTCTATAGCAAAAAAAAAAATAGAAAAACTTAATTGTATAAAATTCAACTCCAGGAGAAATTCCTTTCATATGTTGCCTTAAAACCCCTTATTTGTCAAATCAAGATTAAATTATCATGTTTCATTATTGCGTTCCTCTATTCTCCAATAAATTCTCCCTGATATAATGCAGGAGACCGATGAGACCGGGTTACACCGCCCCTCCATCCCCCTGGAAGAACCCGATGCCCATTCTAAGTGCAATACCAAACATACCGGTCCACCCTCAACGTCAGCCCGTCAAGGAGTTCCAGCTGATGAGCAAAGTGCCTGAGTACAGTCCCGAGTACCGCCCTGAGCCCATGGTGCTGCCGCCCACCCACCGCGGGGGCATTGACGACGATAAGGGTCCGATTCACACGATCCCAGCGCCGAATCTAAGTCTCGCTGATAAACCGTATAATCCGAATGAGGGAGGCGAGCATGAGCGCGAGGATAACCGAAGATTCCCCAATGATGGAGAGTACAATGGTCAGGGGAGTAGACAAGAGGATCATCGGAGATTTCCTCATGAAGGAGAATACAGTCCTAATGTCCAAGGTACTAAATCAATACACGACATCCCATTTCAGTTAAAATTAAGATACCGTCAAGGACATAAATTCATTTATTTATGATCTATTGCGAGTAAAGTAAAACGGATGCTCAGCTTTATTGTTTGGAGTGTAACGAACAGCTTTTAAAGGCTGTTTAAAAAAAAAACTAAAATCATATAAAAAGTACAGGAAAAAATAAAGTTTTTTGTGGTTATATGGGGCACAATCGATCGGGTCCGCGAGACTTTCCTTCACTGGACAAAAGGGGAAATTTCCTTTGGACATACAAAGAGTTTTACGGAAATGATTGCATACGCTTCAATCAATTATTGAAGTAAAAATAACAACACCTTGAATAAAGCAAATAAAACGAAAACGACTACGTGGTTAAACTAATTGATGGACTACGCTCCGAGGAGATCCACAATCTCTTTACTCCCGTAATCCACTGCTCTCTTTCTTCTAATTCTTTTATGCGTAAGGCGTGAAGACTTACTACGCTACGCTAATGGACCATAATGCCCTTTGGTCATTCATTCTGAAAAAGCAGTTTAACCGAATGATTATGGGATTTAAACATAGACGAAATTTGGGAAATTTATCAGAAGATCATTCTTTGCAGGGATCGGCAATTCCAATTTGTACCAATCGGATTTAAGATTAAATCAATTAAAGATTTACTCATTAACCTGGGTCGCATGATTGTTGACTAATATTTTTTATTTCTGTTTCTGTAATTATGGAATAGTGATGATGTCGATCTGTGATTTTTTGAGTCTTTAACACTCCGTTGGTCGCGCCGTAAGCGCCGTGCCAGCATAAATCGACATAATGATAACTTTGAAAGATCTAGGAAAAATCCGAAAAAAATCAAGAGACTTGAAAAAGTCCCCTGAGATTTTTCATCTTCAGTGTTACCTTCAATTATACATACATGCTCAAAGTTGCCATGTTTTTCTGAAAATTCGCCTTACATTATATTTATTCGAAATAAAAATTTGAAAATCCAACTACTTATGACATTTGTGGCGGATATTTTCATTGGCCGAGCTTCTAGACCCTTCAAAATGAGATATCAAATCGTTTCAAGTTCTTCTGAGGCTTTACAGCAATGTAATTTAAAAAATCGTGAAAAGTGCGGCGCTGTGCAACATATGCTGATATTCCCCATTTTTTCAGTGACAAATTACGGCTACGGAACCCTGATGACAAGTGTCTCGCCGCAGAGACCAGTGACCTCTCCCACGCCGACGCAGAACGTCTACGAGGTGACAGAAACCAACGAAATAAACTTCAAAGACTACCAGACGGTGGCTCCCACCTACTACACCCCCGACTTCGACCCCTCGAGGATATCGACAGGTGCGAGTGACGTCCAATCGAACGAGCTGTACCTGAACCACCCTCAGATCTCTCGAGCAAGTCTGGTCGGCACCAACATTCAGTTTGGCCAGTCAAACGTTCCAATGCAGACGAATTTGCACAGTTCCCTTCACGTTGGCTTCCCAGGGACGGGCCAGGGTCAGCAGCAGAGTGGTCACGTCGTCTTCCCCGGGACGGCTCAGGGTCAGCAGCAAGACGTCCACGTGGCGCAACAGCCCGCGGACATTCACGTCGGGCAACAGGCGCCCGATTTGCATGTGGGACATCCAGCGGCTGCTGGGCCCCCTCTATCGGCTACGCAATTGTACGATCTTTTGAACAGCTTCCCTCAACCGTTCGACGAACAGTACGGAGGGGGACAGCACCCGCAATTGCAGCAACATCTTCAACAACAGCTGGGGCAACTCTTTCAGGCCGGGGTGAACCCCACGACGTTCTCCCAACCCCAAATGCACTCTTTCAATTACGATGAGCAGGCGAATAAGCAGTTGAGAAAGCAACAGCAACAGCAGTTGCAGCAACAGGTATTGTTAACGTGAATTGTATGACAGTGAGGAGGAATGCCTAAGAGGTTTTCCGCAGAGACAAAATACTGGATTCCAGAAAATGTTCTCGGAGAATCAGGTTTTTAGTGAAATTCAGTAACTGTTGTACTTGGGGATATCCAAGTACGTCGGCTGTTTCTTACTCGGTGAAATGCTTTTCTAATTTTGTAATCGAATATTAGAGCTTTCATTTGAACACCATTTGATCAAATTTCAAATTTTCAAATTTTTCAAGCAATTTAATTGTCGAATTTGATGATTGAAGATGGTTGAATCTATGATATCTTTAAGGATATCCAAGAAAACATACAAACCCCAGTCTGGACTATCCATTTTTTTATTTTCTAGTTATTCATATTGAGAATAATCCCGGCTTCCCTCCTACCTCATCCAAATCCCATCCAATCATTTTCTATGAAGTCACAAAAATGTGGAACACTATATAAATTCCCTCTTTTAATGTTAAAATGTTCCTGGATATCCTTAACCCTAGATTGGTCACCCTATGAGGGAAAGCCCGCCGCGCGTCGTTTTTCTTCAATTACAATTGACCGACTAACCGGAAAAATTAATAAAAAATTGACTTTGTCAATTGAAGTATCTAAAAAATTATAGTATTTTTTAACACAAGATATTTCCTGAAATTCGTAAAGAAAACAAATTATTTCGAACAGATGCATTATTTTTCCCATGTTGAATGAAATTGCCCATGACGCGACGTTGCCGGACACTCGCTAAACGCGCGCGGGCAGGGTAGAGTGGATTCGGCAACGCTAGAGCCTAACTAATACGGCGGGGAATCCCCGCGGAGATAACCAGGTCGCAGGGGCGCGTTCCAAGACCATTGGCTATTTTCGCTGCAGTGAAATCGTGATTTAAAGAACATAAAGTGATAAACATGAACCCCAAACTTAGTATGCATCGCATTTGAATGATAAACATGATAAACATGAACCCCAAACAAGTATACATCGCATTTGAATTTACTCAGGTACTTGTTGGGCAGGATTACGCATCGGGTAGAGTAACAGCGGGTTACAATCTTCAACCGGAGCAGGCCCTGGACGTCCGTAGCAACCCGAACGTCAACCAAGATTCCGTAGGTTACCAGCACCCCGAGCCCTCAGCTCAGGCCGAAAACAACATCGAGTACGACACAGCTGTTGCAGCCACGAGCCAGATCCAGAATAACTACTTTAGCGCCAGTGGAAATGACGACAGTGTAGGCACTCCTTTCTACACAACCCTGCCTAATAGAGAGGCTGCTGAGAAGCTTGCGGCCCTCGCTGCGGCTGGGAACGTCAACAGTCAGCTGATGGGACATATAAGGAAACAGCAGAAGAAGCAGGAGAGCGAGGAGGCCCAGGGAGACGAACCCTTGCCCAGTAATCACAGGACTGACTATCAAGTTAACGAGGAGCTGGATGACCTACCCAGGGAGGAAAATCAGAGGGGGAGGTATAGATTCGGGTCGCAGAAGTATTCGCACAGACAGCGGATTAGACAACAGCAGATTAAACAGGAACAGGTAATTATGATGAATGACGAAATGAATTCTCAAATTCTTTTGCGAATTGCTTTGAAAGGGTTTTTATCTCGATCGAATCCATAAAGAAACTATTTTCGGAGAATATTTGACGCTTCACGAGACCGATCCGTCATTTTTGAAACGTAAGTCTTGAGAGATAGAAGTCTTCGATTCTATAGAAAAATTCCGCAGATTTTGACCAACAGATCAACAGATTTCGATCTTTCTTATACAACTTACTCTGTTGAGACTTTTTGAGTAAAAATTTCTCGGATTAAATTTACCAGGTTTCGACTTAAATTTTTTAATGCAAAAAAATGCTGCGACCTGTCGAGGAATTGAGGAGTTGTTGGAGGGTCTAAGGGTCAAACAATCGTATGTGCAAACGTTTCCACCTGGCGAGATTCACTAAATTCCCCCAAAACCTTCTAGCAAAAAACTGTGCGACTCATTAAAAAAGTGTCCTGTAATTTGTCTCCACTTATTCTACATCCTCTCTAGTAATTTTCCAATTGTTTCATCTCCAGGAAAAGGCAGACAAACATTACGAACAACAACAACTGAAACCAGAAGAAGAAGACGAGGAGGAGAAAAAACCCCTGAGGATTCTGGTCCCTGAAGTGCAGGAGAAGAGCCCCCAGGAGAGTACGAGCATTGAAAAATCAGTTGAGGATTACGACTACGACAGCATCGAGCCGGAGAGCCCGAAAATCACGACTTCAAACGACGAGAGTTACGAGAACGCGAGCTCTGAATTCGGCACACGAATCAGTGGAAAAAATGACAAGTAAAAAGCTAAAGAAAGATTGACTCATTCCCCTGATAATTCTCCATTGTAAATAGATTTTTTATTTATTATTCGATATCTGGCAGAGACGCGAGCTCGTCTCACAACTGGAGCTTTATTTATTACAAATTATTTATTCTTAGATTTAGATAAATTCGGAGTATTGTTTCTGTACCAGGTGACGAAAGGAAATAAGAATGACAAGTTGATTTCTTGGAGTCACCTTCACACAGTGTTGTTTTGAATAAAAAAAATACATTAAAAGGCTGAATATTGTCCTGTAGACACCCGGTAACATGTGGTCACGGTCGTATGCCTGTCACAAGGATAGAGAATTGCTACGGATCCATTAGGAAGCTTACTACCAATGTACATTCGATAAGTTTAACCACTTCATTTATGTTATTGATTGTTGTCTCTCCCAACCGCTTCAATCACTGCACCCCTCCTCCTAAATTGATTCCAATGTTCCTTTCCTGAAAACTAATACTGAACTATCCATGACATTTCAATGTCTCTCTGATAGTACAGCTTTGAATTTCAGGACGGTTTTTTTTAATGATTGCGCATTCTCAAGTTTCGGAAAGATTGTTTCCGTAAAGGGAAGGGAATGTTTCCGTAACAAGTGACAAAGTGAAATCATTAATGAGTAATTGATTTCTCCGAGTCACCTTTTACAGTATTATGTTCAATAATGAGAAAAGACAAAAAATGTTGATTAGAAGGACGTTTATTTGATTAAATGGTCAATTTAACGAGTTGTGGGTTCAATATATGTACACGAATTTCATTAATCGGTGAAGGAAGAATCGAAGATAATGCGTGCTAGAAGGCACACATCTGATCTTCGTGATTGATGAGAGATTCATGCGTTTATTCGGCTTGATTTTCAGTTCATCATATCAAAAATGCGATTTGTATCCAGGGGATGAAAAATAAGGGGTTTTTTTTTTCACGATATAATGTGAATCATTCAGTGTTCAAACCACTTGCCGTAATATGACGGTTAACTCACCGTAATGGGCGAGTTGTGCAATGAGATCATCCAAAATTTGAGTTATCGTGGAATCTCATTCATTCAAACACTGGACGATTCACCTCATTAATGGGATCCCAAACCTTGGAAAATATTCATCTCCCATGAAAATCACTAGGAACGATCCATGAACCATGGACGGCCGTCATTGGTGCGTCGTTTTGTGAGAATGTCACAGCCAGTCTCAGTGACAAGGAGAGTCTGCTCGAATTGGGCTGACCATTGACCATCAGCTGTCACTGCTGTCCAACTATCTGGCCATGTTTCGTCTCTCCATGTACCTTGAGAGATCATTGGCTCGATTGTAAAGCAGTGACCTGGTTTCATCACGCCAACTGCTTTATTTTCTAATTGAGAAAGAACATTATTAATATTCTGCCATGAAGACGAATCTAATGAGAATAAAAGAGTTAACTGGAAAGTAAGAAAATAGAATAGCAGAAAGCAGTCACTTTTCGTAAATGGCGTCAATATAAATAAGCTATTATTACTATTCATTGAAAATAATTGTTGTCCTTTCGGAAGATTGATTCGTCAATTTTTGACATTTTTGCTTCCGCATGGAAGCTTTGTAACCGTTCAAATTTAAGTTTTGGATTTTTTGTGTTATATCGAACCAGTTTGATCTAAAAAGTTCGAAAATGCAATTTAACAAAGTTTTCTTCATTTGTTCACAAATTCAGGGATGGAATTGAATGTTTTTTCAAATGTGAGTATTGTTGAGCCCTATTAATCGCCATTAATCAAAATTTGACACATCGATTAGTTTTTTAAATTTCCGAATTGATTCGAAAATCGGTATTCCCACGATAACTAAAAAATGTTCTGAATTGATTGAATGATGGCTTAAAAAATTTGTTTGGATGTCTTCTTGACCAATTTTGAGGGATAAAGGCGATAGCAATAATCGTTATTTTGCTTTATTTGAAAATTTGCAAAAATTTGTGTTTTTTGAAAATCGGAATTCCGGGATATATGATGACAATAGCTGTATTGATTTTCAAGTATGTATAAATAAAATTCGTCTATTAACAATAAATTATAAACGATAGAAGGAAAAAGTGTGCAAGAATTGATTTTTTTGCATTTTATAATGATTTATGGACTCACTGGCATAATGAGGAACACTGGGGGCAGTGTGGAATAGTCTGTGTATCCCGTGGCCACAGTAACTCCTCACGACGCTGAAGCCATGCGCCTGTGCATGCTTCTGAATGATATTCCCAATATCCTTGTACTTCTCCCCTGGTCTGACGATGTCAATGGCCTTCGAGAGACACTCGTAGGTCACTTGGACTAGTTTCTTTATTTCTGGTTTCACGTTACCAACGAAAAACGTCTCATTCAAGTCACCGTGAAAACCATTGTGATACACCGTCACGTCAACTGCAAGGAAAAACAGCATAAAACCATTGATCTGGAACTGTGAATTGCATTCATTCGAAGGATTAGGTAATGAGCCGATGCATGAACTAAATTGACTTAATGGTTCAACGAAAACTTTTCGTGACTGACACAATTCTGAAAAAAAATGACGGTTTTTTTAAGAATTGTGTTTTTCAATGAATCATTGAATTCAATTTAAAATCTATCGTCATAAAAATTCCATTTGGAAATAAACTGCTAATTTATTACCAAAAATATTGTGATGTTGTGATATGTAAGATATTTTGCTCTTAAAAATTTTCGGGCTATGAGTTTCTCCGCGAAGTAGAAACGTCTTCATCAAAAAACGTTTTTCTCTCAATGCACAAGTTCAATGATCTCACCATTACAAAGATCGCCATCTTCTAACGGCCTGTTATCGGGTATTCCATGGCAAATAACTTCGTTAACAGAAGTGCAACAACTGGCAGGGAATTGGTGATAATTGAGCGGCGATGGGTAGCAGTCCCTCTCGAGGCAGGCTTCATGAACGATCCTATCGAGTTCAGCTGTCGTCACACCGACGTCGCATGCCTTGGCTGCTTCGTCCAACACCTCTCGTCCCAATTTGCACGCAACCCTCATTCCCTCGATCTCCTCCTCGTCCAGAATCTTTATCTGCGCCGAGCCACGCACCGCCTGTTCACTCAGGGGAAGCCCCTCCGGATGATCGGCATAGTCTGGACGCATTATTCCTTTTGGCACTTGTCGTCTTTCTGGCCTTGGGTATGGGCGCAATTTACCGGTGTAGTGGTACGACGGCCAGGGATTGTATTCACCTGATGATGATTGTTTCCCGGTATCTCCCTCTGAGTTTAGAGACAAATTATTTCTAATGGGGAATCGATTCACCGATGAAGTATTAAGGGGTAAGAGAAGATCACCGTTTCCTCGAAATTTTCAAACAAATTCCCTGCTCAAAGTTATTAATATTTTGCGAATCCAAAGGACATGGATCATTACCGTCAACTCCTGGAGGTTAATGTGCTTCGATTTGTAAAAATATCGACAACTTTCGGCAGAAAATTTGTTCAAAAATTTGGAAAATCATCAGCATTCTGTTACTCCTTATGGCCATTCAGATATTAAGTCACGGGTTTGTTTAATTTTTTAGATCCCCTTCTCCTTCTTATTCACTAATCGTCCCGAACATGCACCCCTCCCGCCGCCATGCCAAATTTTTTAGCCTCTTCATAAAGCTGTGTGAACTTGGAGTCGAAGTTTGATAAATCGATTTTTTTTCTTATAGTATCGATTGTACTCAGTGAGTACCTAAATGTACCACATTCATTTTCGTTTGTACCCCGCATCCCTAGACGTAAGGGGTGCGGGAAAAATCGTGCAGCGTCGGAAATGAAGGTACGGAAAAAATTTTCATGAGCAAGGATTCAGCATGGATAGTACTTGTATGTACTATATTTTTCCATTTCATTTATCAACCCCTTCAATAGTTTACCCGCTTCTAAAATCTTAAATGTATGAAGGACGTCAGGAAAACAAACAGATAGCATCTAAATCGTTAGTACTCGTTTGTACCAACGAAAATTATTCATTATTATTATTATTATTATTATTATTATTATTCTCATCAAATCACCTGATTCCATTTTTATCAACCGTAAAATCATCGTAATGGATTCCATATGTAGTTCGTGAAGTTTTGATGTGGGTACAAACGTCTCATCTTCCGTCCTTCCACCCCCATCGCAGTACAAACGGAACAATTTACTGTACATGATAATGAGACCAAGTACAAACCATTGAGAGCTTCAAAAACAGTCATAGATTATTAAGAAAAATGATACAAACGTTTTTCTGAATTTTTCTGAGATAATCGCGAAAAACGAAATGGCCAAAAAATAATAATTTAATTCATCTTGTATAGG